CCTGATATGGGACTCGATCCAGGGACTCCAGGATCATGACCTGAGCCGAAGGCAGTCGCTTAACCAACTGAGCCACCCAGGCGCCCTAGATGGCTTTATTTATGTATCTCCCGAGATAGATATGCCGGTAGCAAGCTAATGAGCATTGTGGATGTTTTCTGGACACTTAGCAATCATTCAAGTGTCTGGTTTACTTCTTGCCTCAGCATGTTCTATTTACTGAAGATAGCCAATATATCCCACCCATTTTTCCTCTGGCTGAAACTAAAGATTAACAGAGTCGTCCTGGGGATTTTTCTGATGTCCTTCCTTACCTGTATAATTATTAGTGTTTCATTGAATGAGGACTTCTGGGATCCCTTCAAAGGCAATCATAAGGAAAACATAACTTGGGAATTCGAAGTGAGTAAAATCCCAAGTGCTTTCAAACTGGTTATCCTGAACCTGGAGGCTATCATTCCCCTTGTTCTTTGCCTAACCTCATTTCTCTTGTTACTTTTCTCCCTATTTAAACATACCAAGCAGATGAAGCTTAATGCCACAGGGTCCAGAGACCCCAGCACAGAGGCCCACATGAGGGACATAAAGGCAGTGATCATCTTTCTGCTTCTCTTCATTATGTACTATGCAGTCTTTCTTGTAGTAACCTCTAGCTTGCTGATTCCTCAGGGAAAATTAGTGGTGATGTTTGGTGGCATGATCGCTGTCATTTTCCCATCAAGCCATTTGTTCATTCTGATAATGAGGAACAGCAAACTGAGGGAGGCTTTTCTGAAAGTGCTAAGGATTGTGAAGAGTTTCCACAGAAGAAGGGAACCTTTCGTTCCACAGAGAATCCTGAATACAAGGAGAAAGAAATCAACAAAAGACCTTCTCCCTTCTCCCAATTGATTACATTCATTTTTTTATACATGCTTTAGAAATCATTAATATCTATCATTATCCTAAATTTTCCTTTGTGTTCCTTAACATTTCTGTTCTGGTTAACTTTAAATGAAATGTTATTGAACCACATATATTTCTTTGTCTTTGCAGGAAAAAATGAATCCAAATCCCATGCTAACATTTCATATCATTGCCTAAATGCAAAGAGATTCTACTTATTTCTGTCATATCTGGTAAAGGCCTTGAACTCAAAAAGTAGAAGAATTTTAATTAAACAGACTTTGGGGAAGAGATTTTAAAACATATCAGTCCTTCCTATAAAATCAATCATGTAAAAAACTATCTACTTTGAGCTGGAAGTCCGTACTTATCTTTTCTGCCCTGTCCTCTCCATTTCTAGAATGGCTCGTCCTCATAAGGATGGAGAAAAAACACTCTGGTGAGATCCTCCCTAGGGTGAAATATAATGTAAGAAAAGAGGGGTGATCTCAAGAAAAGGTTTGACTAGGAAAGGGGATAAGGGGTGCACAGTTAGAAATATGCGTATCAAACCATCCTAGCTGGTGATGCCAGTTTTAGGAGTCAGTTCTCAAAGATTCTTTGGAATGTTTTCCTATCCTTCTAGACTCAAGAATCTTTGACATGTGTTTTTTGTTTTGTTTTGTTTTGTTTTAGCATCATTCTCTTTTCTATTCTGTTTCTGATAACATTTTACAGATAACTAGTTTTCCTTAAATTATTAACTTCATGCTTTCCTATTACACACTATGCACACATAAGAAATAGGAAAAATACTAGATATGTTTCTTACATTATAGAAGTACTTAAATAAAATTAGAAGAACCCTAGTTTATGCGATTTGTATTACCTAGATTCTGTGATTTGTATTACCTAGTTTATGTGATTTGTATTACCTAGATTTGTGGGCTAGGTTTCCCAAGAAAGAATAAATCAATTTAACAGTAGACTTAGTCCTATTCCCTGGAAATATAATTCAGTAAATATTTTCTTAAAGGTGATTGCCCCATCTAGAGAAATGACTACAATGTAGAATGTGAGATTATAAATCTTATAAAAGCAGTTGATTGTAAATAGTATAAAGTGTGTTTTCTTAATTTTATATGAAAATATTCATTATCCAAGAGACAACATTTCAGGAAGTGAATTGTCATGGACAGCATTTCCCATATTAAATAAAACCAAATATAGCAGATTTATCTAGCATCTTTCACTTCTATTAAAAAAAACTACATAGAGAAAAAATTTTTAGTAAATATTGCCATGTGCCTGCCTAATAACACTATGTCATTTAAATTAGATTTGTATCATACCCTTCTCGAATTAATCATTTATATGAAAACAAAATTACTATCCTCTGACTGAAAGTTAATTTTCTACAACTGATTGTACTGATCATTTCCAAAATTAAAATTCATTTCCACTAGGAAACTTTTGATTAATTTATAATTTATGGTGAAGAAAATGGACTTTCATTTACACATTGTGATTTTTATGGAATACATGTTTTTGTTTGCTTTCTGTGGCTCTGTATTCAAAATTCAATTTGACAGGGTCAAAATACACAGAACTTAACAGCAAGAAGCCTGTTGCAAATTCATGAAATATAATCTCTTTTAATTTGTATAAGAGCAGTTTCAAGCAAACATTTCCCTTATCACTCACTAAAGGGTGATGATTATAATTTGCCCTGGCTCAAAGCTAGTCAAACTGTTTGGAGCAACCAGTTGGTTGTCCTCATGAATGGAGAAGCAATTCTATTTCAAAAGAGAGCTGGGTACTTCTGGAATTATATTAAAGTCAAAATAGTGGATGAGATGAAAATATTATTCCATGATTTGAAGAACTTATTTACCATGTTCCAACTGAGCGTCTGTAAATTAGCCCATCTGTGGTGATATTAGAGATCAGGGTCTTCTCCCTACCAACATGCTCAGTACAGAAGACAACATCTTTGTGATCATTGTAACTGGAGAATTCATAATAGGAATGTTGGGGAATGTATACATTGGACTAGTAAACTGGATTGACTGGATTAAGAAGAAAAAGATCTCCTCAATTGACTATATCCTCACCAGTCTAGCCATCTCCAGAATTTGTTTGCTCTGTGTACTGATACTAAATGGCATCATAATGGTATGCTACCCAGATTTTTATGAAAATGATAAGCTACAGGCAGTCATTAGTATCTTCTGGACACCCACCAACTACTTAAGTACGTGGTTTGCCACCTGCCTCAATGTTCAAGATAGCCAATTTCTCCCATCCACTTTTTCTCTGGCTAAAGAGAAGAACTGACAGAGTGATTCACTGGATTCTGCTGGGTTGTTTGGCCATTTCCTCTTTTGATCAGCCTTATACTAGCAACAACACCAAATTATGATTATGAGTTTCATAAAATTATAAATCATAAAAGAAACTGCACTGAAATGTTCCATGTGAGTAAAAGTCAATACTTCAACCCTTTGACTCTCTTTAACCTGTTGGCAATTGTCCCATGTACTGTATCATTGATCTCATTTTTCCTTTTAATTATGTCCCTATGGAGACATATCAAGCAAATGAAACTCAGTGTTACAGGCTGTGGAGACCCCAGCACAGAGGCCCATGTGAGAGCCATGAAAACTATGACTTCATTTCTCTTCCTCCTTTTTGTATACTATGGGGCTTCTCTTTTGGCGACTTTTAGCTACCCTATGAAAGAAAGCAAGTTAGCTGTGATGTTAGGAGAAATTATAGCAATTCTCTATCCTTCCGGTCATTCACTTATTTTATTTTATTTTTTTAAAGATTTATTTATTTATTTTGAGAGAGCGAGAATGAGAGAGAGAGAGAGAGAGCGAGAACATGAGTGGGGGAGGGTCAGAGGGAGAAGCAGACTCCCTGCCGAGCAGGGAGCCCGATGCGGGACTCGATCC